TCACTTTATGCTAGGCCCCTCCCACACGCAGTTATAAATGATTAAATTTCCATTTTTTTTTTTTTTTTTTTTTTTCTTTTTTAAATTTTCTCTTTTTTAAAAAAAAAATTAAAAAAAAATAATTGAATGCAAAATTATTCTGTCCATAGTTCGCATGACTATATATATAAATATGCAATTTAAAAACTTACCCCATGATATGTTCGATTCCTTTCTTTTTTTTTTTCTTAACACTACAATCACTTGGGTATTAAATAAAAGGACTTGGAGAGTGGAATGCGAGTGGAAGTCTCATTGTTCGCGACTTTAAATCTCAAATGCGGTAAATTTTTCTTTGGTCGCAGTCAGTCGGTAAAGAGCTAATACATATCGATGGGGCGCATGGGACCCACTAGCCTAGCAATCAGCAAACCTCTCTATTTTCTTTCTCTTTCGTCTTTTCGTTCTGACACTCATTGGGGGGACAACCCCTGAGTGATTGGTCAAAAATAAATGCATAAATAACAATCAGTATAAGAGAAGTACTCTGTTAGCGTTTCACCGATAACTTCTACAAATCCTTAAACACTAATCTGCCAGTGATAACATGCACTACACAGTTTTATGCTACCGTACCGTGATGTCAATGAATGATGCCATGGAATATACAAGATTTTCAGCTACAACTAAACATAAACTTCTTACCTATTAAATATGATCCATAAGGCATTGTCTTGACTAAAGGTACAAAGTATTTTAAGTATGCATATATGTAGATTTTATAGGACCTTATAGGTGCGTATTCGTGAGCGTTGAACGATAAAAGGCACAATTAGCTTAATTTATAAAAAAGAGAGTTCGCATCGCGCGCACAAGTATAACATTGTTTTCTTCCTTTACACATAAACGCGCACGGGCACACATGCACATACATATGTAGAAAAAGTCTTATTATATATATGTTGCGAAATCTCTTTCACTTTCTTTTTCTTGATTATGTTAAATTTTTTTTTTTTTTAATGCACCCAAGTGGCGTAACATTACATAGCAAAAGCATACATATGTATATGTATATATGTATGTGTATGTATACTTAGGCACATATAGCTTTTTTTTTTTTGGTTTTTATTTTTATTTTTCAGTATTTGCCCACGAATTGCTATCGCTGTGTTACAATATTTCCGCTTTTATTTTTATGGCAAAAAAGAGAAGAAAAAGAAGGAAATTTCGTCCGCTATTGTCCCAAGCAAATCATAATTGCTGTTAACTTTAACTGTTGCACATGTTAACCCAAAGTTTTTTTGTCGAATTATAATAATCAAACCTTCACTTTTCAAGTGCTGCACTTGCATATTCGCTATCCTTGTATGTGTGTTAAAAACAATTAACCACCATCATCATTATCATCATTATCATCATTCAAGCCATTCAAGCAGAGTTTTTCAATGGTCATGCATTTGTTTACGATACCATTGCATTTTATTTCCACTTTTACTTATTGCAATAAAAAAACAATTCATTTCTCTTTGTTTTCATTAACTAGAAAAAATATGTTTAGAAATCTCTTATGGAAATGAATCGAAAAAAAAAAAAACAAATAGCAACAAAGATAATATTAAAAAATCGAAAAGGAAGCTGTCCACTAATACTTGTTTAAGAATTATTTTATAAAGGCTAAAAGAACAAAAAAAAATCGAGTTTTAATTTCGAAACATGATTAAAAATTTGAATATAATTAATTGCTCAACAAAACCAGCACAAGTCTTATATCTATATATATATACTGCCCTCCCTACTAGAGAGAAAGAGAAAGAGAGAGAGACTAGAAATTAATACGATATAAATATGAGGTCTGGCGTACACTTACGACGACTCTCATATATTGACTATTATCTCCAGTCGAACAAAATTCTCGAAAAATAATATCGAAAGAGAATTTTCGATATTTGCCTCAACGCAATGATAACAAAACAGAAGCTCATATATGTAATAATAGATTACCGGAGCAAGTTAGTTCGTCCCATTTACAATTCTATTGCTCGGCATTTAGAAAAGTCAAAATAATTATACCGTACACCACCTATGTGGTACCAGGTATATTAACTTAATGCGGACGTATGTAACACGCAAAAGGGCTTAAAATAGACTCACTTTTTATTATACCGATCGATTCAGAATTATAATCTGAATTGATCTAAGCCTGTCTGTCCGTCTGTCCATGTAAATTTGTTTTCAAGCTACAGGTCGCAAATTTTTGAAATTTGGTAAAGTGACTGGTTTTGACCCAACGAGAAACGCCATCGAAAATAGTTCGAATCGGTCCACTTTTTCCGCCACTCCACATACGACGCCCTATTCTGAAAAGTTGTTATTTGGAAAAAAATTGCAATTTCCAAAACCTCTCGGGAAAATGATTAAGTAATAGTATTTTGGCATTATAAATTGGTACGCAGAACTTTGGATCGGCTGGAACAATTTTTGAAATCCAAAACATGAAAAACAAATAATGAAAAGTTAAGCTCATACGGCAAAAAGGTGTAATTTTCAATGCTTCATGATGAGTATTAAATCATAATAGTAATTCAAGTTAAACTATTAACAGTATCAAATTTTGGATCATCTCAGCCAACTTTTTGGATCCACGAATTTTCACGAAAATTGATGCCCTGCACGGCAGAAAATCTATGGTTTAATATGTTGTGATGAAATTTGATCCATGATAGTAATTTCATACAAAAATAAGAATTGACTTAGACAATGTCGTGTAGGGTATTCAATGGTCAGCTTTACCCGACTATTATAATGTTCTTACTTGTTTTTTTTTCTAAAAACATGCATTGATTTTTCATAAAATTATGATATGCATGCAATATACTTCTTCTTCTTTCCTCGCCTCCCTCTATCAACCCAAGACTACATACATTCAAGTATCATGGAAAAAAAAATAGGAATAAGGTTATCTGGGTTAAATGTAATTAAAAAAAATTTGCAGAAAATATATGCCCAACATCCGGCAATCTAATGTTAATTTTTAGCATTATGTCGATTACTCAGGACAACCTGAAGGGGCGGAGAAATCTTCAACTAATTTTGATAATTACTTATATCGTATATTTCATATCATTTATATGCGAGATTTATAGCTAATTGCACAACATTCTTTGCACCCTACGCCGGTTGTGATACAAGTTTGTGAGGATGTACGCAATACCCAGAAGGAGATAGACTTATTCTGTTTTATGCCGATCGGTTCGAATTCAGTCTCTCTATCGATCCAAGTTTTTCTGTCCATCTGTAATCCTTGTGTTCAGCCTAAAGATTGTAATTTTTAAGCCGTTGTAATCCAAAAAAACACCGCAAATCGAAAATGGTTCGAATCGGATCTAATTTATTTGCAATTGGGTGGAAAAACGGCGAATGTGTGTTAGAACAGATTGGAATTAAAAATTCTATCGTCATTGGTGGACGTATTGGTGAGCCGATCGAAACCATTTTTGAATCAAATCTGCCACACTTGAATTTGACGAACATCTCGTTAGATGGTTTTCTGATATATCTTCACCGAATCGAACTTTATAGACGAAAATAATAATAAAAAAAAAATATCGCTTTTTCTCGCGATTGTTTCCGTTTCTCATTTATGGTGGGCGTTTATCTGGGCAGATCGTAGCCATTTTTTTTTTTTAATATTGGACCAAGAAATATTTATGCTAATCTTTATACTAAATGTTATGCTAAACTCCATTATTGCGACTGTAGTAAGTTGGCAAATATAGGGGATCATAATGATCGCTTTTGGTAGACATAAGTATATATCATCGGCATCTTGCAAACTACACTAGGTAAAGATTTTGTCATATTTGTAAATAAGTTAGTTACCAAAAAATTTCGGAACATTACAAGCTTGATAGCTGTTTTTTTTTTTTTTTTTTTTTTTTTTTTTTTTAAATTAAAAAAAGAAAAAAAAAAAGCGTTCTAGCGTTAATGTTAGGCCATTTCCAACGCCAATTCTCATATATTGACTATTTTCAGATGACTTAACAAATCAACTAATTTTAAGATCGTAGCAATGATCCTCTAATCGACCTCTCTATTCGTGATCGGTACATATGTATATATATATATTAACGTAATCGCACTAACTGAGGATATACCCTATGTAACTTACATATGTTGTTTAGATGAGCATCAAGAAAGTGAAACTCACGAAAAAAAAAAAAAAACTCAATGTGCAGCCATTAACTGCGAAGTAAGTATGTATGAAAAATGTAGCTTTCATTTTTCTATTCAACTGGTTGATAAGCTGACTTTCAGCTACGTGATAATCTCCTCCTTCTCGTCTTCTCTTTTGTTCTTTTCGTATGAAAGCGAACAATGTGATATCGCCGGAAACATTTGAATTAAACCTGTTTTTTATCTTTTCTAATAATACCCTATTATAGGTCGATTAGATTTTCCCATTTTTCAAAAATAAATCTTTAATTTTTTTTACCAAAGCCCAGCGAAACCTCTATGCCATCTACGCCATTGCTGCAATGACGCGCTTTGTAAAAAAGGAGAATTGAAGATCAAGTATTTTACTATAATTTGTTCTTATGACAGTGTGACCTGAATATTTGATTCGAGAGATTGTTTTAGTGACGACATCAAGTATTTTGAAAAAATTGTGTAAATAGATTCAATTAGAAAGAAAAGCGTTTGCCATCTGTTTTAGGCTATTCATCAGTACATATGTTTTACATATTTACATATTACCTGCCGCATAAATTGTAATTACCAGTGATTGAGAATATAGTTTAAAGAATCTTGAATTGAAAATTATATATCTAAACGCAGGAAAAGAGAAAGGGCTTTCTTTCTATATTCTCGAAAAGGCATCTTCCGATCACAGAAAACTTGTACATCAAATGTTCTTCATTAAAGGTAATTTTATTTAAAATTAAGTCCTTTTCATTAACCAAGAACTTTTTCTATGAAGTCGTGTATGGTACGCTGTTTCGCAATTAACTGATATATATATATATATATATATATATATATTTATATATATGTACCTGTAGTAATTAAGTTTATATTTATTTTTTGTTCATTTTATGTTTATATATTGATGTATGTACGCGTAATAATCTAAAATCTAAGGAAAAATTCATATCAGAAAAACTCGCTAAAAGATTGGTAAACAGTAAAACACCTACAGAGTAAGTAGAAACAGAAAGAGAGAAATTAAGACTTTCTAGTTTTAAATTACGATGCAACAATTTCATTGAAATTTCATATGATACGAATCCCTAGATGATGAGTTTATTCTTTAGCTTCTACAGCGGTTTTCACGGAAGATATTTTGTGAATCGATTTACGTTGCGGTTTGGGCTTTGTAGTTACTGGGGTGACCGCTGGCGTTATCGGTGCTGGGTTCGCCGATGGCGTCTGAGATGTTATTGTGGTGGGTGTTTCTTCTTCGGTATCTGTTTTAATACCATTTTCCGATTTATCTTCGTTAGCCGAAGCGTTGACTACAATTATTTCTTCTTTCTTACCATTGAGCTCCTTGATTTTCGGTTTTTCACTGCATATATAAAATGTGTGATGAATGACAATATGAAAAATTTGAAAAAGCCTTTTCATTACCTTTCAATATCGATATTCAGTACAGATTCATCTTCTTCCTCCTCATCATCCTCGTCACGTTCATCAGGGCCAACTTCCCTAAGTAAATCACCTAAATCTTTATCAACATCTTCCCATAATTGATCGTCTGCTTGCTCTTCAGTTTCGTCCAAATTTTCCAACAAGTGTTCTTCTTCATCCTCGCCTTTTTCATCCGTACCGTTTGTTTCGGCACATTCTTCATCAGCAATTTTCTCCTCTTTTATCTCATTATCATGAATTTTGTCGTGTTCACTTTCAGATTTCTTTTTCTCCTTCTCTTTATCTTTAGATCGCTTTTTAGCCTTCTCGTCTTCCTCTTTGAATCTTAGGAAAGCCTTCAGATGTGACCTTTGCATGCAATGTTTCTTGGTATATATTTGCAATGTGCTTTTATCGGCCGAATAATGTTCGCAAAGTTCACAATAAAAGGCAGTAATTTCTTTCACAAATTGAGCCCCAACTGGAGCACGTTCACCATCTTCATCCTCATCAACACCTTCCATATTAGTCTCGTTAAGCAGAGCTTCAACCTCTTCATCTATAGCTTCATCGATTTCACCCACTGAGTCAACGGTCATAAATTTATTCAAATCGATTTCTCGTGTTCCATCATCATCATCATTAGCATCGCCGCTTTGATCGCTATCTGAATCATTTTTGCGCGCCTTATTCTATCGAATCAGGAGAAATATAAGTATGACAATATCTTTTAAAAATAAATGTACTTACTTTAATATGTTCTAACGAACAGCGATGAGTTTCATATAGCATTGGGCTTTTGAATGCTAAATGGCATGTAGAGCAGTATGGCATTAAAAATTTTTTCATTGTCTTATGATGTTCAGATAACTGATGTTTGGCCTTTGGCTGACGGTAATGCAATCGACAAAGATGACAAAACTTCGACTCGTACGTCTCTTTTGATTTTTCTTCTATTTCTCTTTGAGCGGTACGCTGACGAGCCCTTAATCGCAATAGATGAGCTCTTTGACGTATAGCTATTTGACGAAGAGTTGCCTTGTGAGTGCGTGAACTCAAATGATAGGTGTACTCCTGTCATAGTAAATAAATCTACGTATTTATATAATATCGAAATAAACTTTTTGTAAAATCTACCTTAAAAGTTACACATTTTGCGTGACAATGTATACAAGTTAATTTTATGTATTTTTGATTACGTCTCTGGGGACTGCTCTGCTCTTCTCTGCGGCTAGCACGCAACTTCCGATCTTTGGTACTACCTTCCTCATCCTCGCTGCTGCGTTTATTTTTCTTGGGGCTACTGCTCGACGGTTTGCTCTCGTCTTTATCCTTATCATCTTTTTTTGAAGATGATTTTTTGGTAGATGATTTTTTGGAGCTAACCTCACCATTGCCTTCACCAGAATCATCCTTTTTCTTACCTTCCTTTTTTAGTTCTTTTTCGATTGCAACATTTGAACTACCATCAGCTGTTTTGTCTACACTTACTTCGTCATCACTTTTATCCTTTTCTTCTCCTTCACCCTCCGTGTGTTCATCATTATCTTTTTTAATGGACGTCAACAATTTCTTTTTTTCACCACTTCTACTTTTCTCAGTAGTCTCTACACTTTCCTCCTTTGCGACGACATCACCATGTTCATCATCAACTCTAGTATTTTTAACACCTACCTCATCTTCAGCAATTGGTTTATCGTTGGATTTTGCACGTTTTGAAGTACCGGAACGTTTATTAGCACCTACCGAATCTTTGTCGTCGCGTTTTGTATTGTTATCGTCGTTATCTTCCTCATTGTCGCTGTGTTTGCGTTTATTTTTTTTGCTAGTCTCATCGTCGTCATCACTGGACGCAGTTTTTTTGGCACTGCGTGAAGAACGTCGCGGACTCTTGGTGCTATGTCTCTCTAGGCGACGCCGTCTAAGGGAGCTACAGAGGAGGATTGCGTGTTTTTGCTTTTAATGATTCAGTATCAATGTATCAAAATATATATATATAGATATAAAAATCATTTTGTTGTTGTTGCTGTAACTATCTAAAGAGTTATTGAAACTATTCAAAGTTTCTGAATGCAATAAATAGGAAACTGCTCAGACAAGCAAGAGGAGAAAAGAACTGGATCTCAATTGCTGTCCGATCGTTAGAGCTGAGCACAAGGAAAACTCACCATCTTTCTCTGAGCGTTCAAAATAAACAAATGTGGATTGGATTGGAAATACCTGCACGCACACACAAACTGTGGCATCAAGGCTCAACAAATAGTTTGTCATTGTTCTGTGTAAATTTGTTCGTTCGTTTTCCGATCCTGGTTATGTTAGGTTTTGCAACTTTTTTTTACACTTTTCAAGTATTCAGAGAAATTGGCAAAGATTTTCATTCGCATTTTTAGTTTTTTTGTGTGAAAACTATTTACCTCGTTAGACGTGCTATTTTTAAGACGCGAGCACGATCTTTTTGCTGAGCAAACATTAATTTGCGTCTCATGATGCGCAGGTCATTTGATTCTCGGCGCAATACACGTACCGGACCACCACGTGCCGAACGCACGCCACGACTGGATGGTGCACCCCGTGACCGTGAGGCGAAGCTACTTCGAATCGGTATTCGCTTTGATGGTGGCCCCATAGGCGATGAACGATGTCTACTTTTGGAGTTGGCACGTTCGCTATGACGTGAATTATTGGTGGCTCTGGCATTACTGCTTCTATAGCCAGACGATGACGCACCACCAGAGGACATTGGCGGTGGTGGGGGCGGTGGGGTACGATTTCCTCTACCCGTAGACGATGAATTACGTCTATATTCCTATATGTGATGATGACGAGATGAGGGTTTCGTGTTTATTGAATTCTTCACACAATTGCAATTGTCATTGAATTATCAATCAATCATTTAATAAGAGAGTATACCAAAATAAATCATAATCAATCAATCATTCATATTCAATGGATGTTGAATCAAAACATATACTTATTGGTTTGTTCTTTCTAGAAGACAGCGACTTTAGTTTTAAGCAAAAATTCTTATTTTCAGTTTCTTGATCACAAATAGATGACAAAACAACACAAGAGGGTTTAGGAGGCATCATGAAAAGCTGTTTTCTTTATAGGTGGTAGCGTAGTAGTAGTAGTATTCATAATTCGAAAAATGTAATAGCTATCAATGCAAGGCAATGCAGTCAACACATGTTAAAATATTTCTACATAAAATTTTTTATTTTTCTAGAAATACAATGGATTGCTGTCAGTTTTTCAATTGTTTTCTATATAGATATAAAAGCATATCGTTTTATCATCGATTATTTGCTTCTTGGAAAAGGCAAGTTTCTCATCTATGGCCACTCCATCTTATATATGTTAGCCAGTGCATCGGTACTCTATAGACTTTTTGTTTTTTGACCACTTCTTGGAGTCTTTTGTCACATCCATGTGTCGTCTTATATTACATTTTAGTTATTTTTCTGTATTTTTTTTTTTTTAAATAAAACTCTATATGGATTTTGTTACGTAAATATACATAAAATAAAATTATTTTTAAAATTTTATGAATTTTATAAAAATAAAAAATAAATTCTAATGAATCTTTTAAAAGTGGATAATGTTAATCCACAGTATATATTCTTTTTTTTCTTTTTTTTTTGATAAAACAATCTGTAACCTAATTAAACTTTTGCAAAAAGTGCTCTACTTACATCTTGACGCGGCCTCTTCCGGTCACCTGAGCGATCGCGTGATGAATCCTAAAAATAAAATGATTTTTATTTATTATTACTTATTACTTGAGAAATTTGAGAATTCGTGCTTCTGATGGCTACATTTTGAGGTACTTTTAAATCAAGCCAACCGAAACGCTACGACCCCTATATTGGTCGAAAATTTTTATTAATTTCGAACAATTTTCATATAAACATGTATTTTATAGAGTTAATTTAATAAACAAACACCTTTGATGCTTTAACATACCCTGTAACTTCTTTTGTGGCCACCAGAATCATGACGATTACTGCTGGAGCTACTGTTAAATCGATCTCGATTGCGTGAGTTATAGTGTCCCCCGCCACTGCTACCGCTAGGGCCACCTGAACTGTACCGCCCCGAACCACTGGCGCCTGCGTACCGATCTGATGAGCGACCGGAATTATTTAAACGACCGCCACCATAATTCGATGAGCGATAAGAAGAGCCGCGGCCGGAAGCGCTACCGCCACCGCGTGAGCCATAACCACGAAAACCACGAGCCATTTACTACAATTCTAACAAATTGACGTTTTACACTTTAAAGACCTCACAATTCAAGTGTATGAGAAATACAAGAATCTTTTCTATGTTAAAGGCAAATATTTATTTAAAATGAAAATCGATAAACACAGGAGTTAAAGAATTTTAAAAATTTTACCTTTTCTGCTTAATAATTCTTTAAGAATTATTTTAAAATATATATATCACGGCGATCAAATTATTAAGAATGATTTACAAACTTTTCTTTAGTTCTTTATTTGATTTTTCACAAAATTTTCACGAGGAAACCCAATTTTACTCCTTTTACAGAAAAAATATGGCGACACAATATCATAGCGTTGCCAGCTAAATATTTTGTGTTTTAAAATAGATACAACCCAAGCGTCACTATTAATAAGATGCCACATAAATAGCGAGAAGCGAACTCTATTAAATAATGGATTGATTGTACTCGTAAGAATTCATTTATCAGACAATACTTTGGACCTTTCAACCTGTTTATTATGATGTTTTCAAAATTTTCCAATTAGATAGACTTTCGTTCTTCTTGATTAACTTGGTGCAAACTAAATCAGCCATCGATACTACTGCTGCATACTATGCATAATAGACAATTCAGATACTGAAGGTACCTTTTTTGAGATCTAGAAAGAACAAATAAAATAAAAATGAATCATATAATGCAATTTTTCGAATGAATGAATAACGAGGGATATCTCAAATATATTAATTATATATAAATTTTTAGCATTTCGCGCATATGACTCTTCTTCTTATTTCCATTCTAATTTAAGCATCAATAATTGCTGAGCTTGGCATCCCTGTGCTAGTAAAAGGAATAGTAAAGATTTGCATCTGGGTATTGTGAATTAAGGAGAAAAATTGATAAATTTTCTTAAAATTCGAAGAAATTGCAATTTATTTTAATAGGAAAAAGTGCTATTTATAATTTGTTTTTCGTGTTAACTGATGTGAGAAGTGTTAAATTATTGCAGACAAAACGCCAAAATCTTTTTTTGTTCAATATCTCCTCGCGAATATTGTGAAATTTGTTTTTTTTTTTTTTTAGATGAAAGAGTGAAATTTATTTTTATACGAATAAGCAGGAAATTTGTTGGTAAAACAAATAGTTGGATAATAAAAGTGTAACTATTGCGTGGTTTTGATCGAAAAACTCACAAAAATTTTACTAAATTGCTGTAAATATAGTTTTGCTAACGTCGGCAATATTTGGGGTTTTCGGTTGAATACTCATTGGTTTTTTAAAGTATAATTGCGGAAAGGCATCCGCCCGATTCTCTTAATTTTTTTTCATATTGTGAAGGTGTGCGTACACAAATATTTTTTTCTATTGTTTACACGCTGTTTTTAAGAATGGCCAGCACATTGGAAGAACAGCAAAGTCTACGCGAATGCGAGAATTATATTCAGGCTCATGGCATACAACGAGTGCTTAAGGATTGCATTGTACAACTATGCGTTAGTCGCCCGGAAAATCCCATACAATTTCTACGTCAATACTTTCAAAAACTGGAAAAGGTAAGTGCTGTAATCTTAACAGAGAGATTTCTAGTCTTAAGAATATAACGTCTGTGCAATTTAATTAAGGGCATAGATGCTATGTGTAAGGTAATTGAGAGGCGCTAACTATAGACGACAATCTCTTATATTGCCCATGGGAAAAAAGCCTAGAAAAAATTTGTCCATTCATTCGCCGGCCTGCATTCCTAAAATAATTACGTTAATATATATATCTGTAAATACTGGTTGATAGTGCTAGTAAAAAGGGAAAACAAGGAAAAACATTTTCATTTCTTATCGTAAAGGATAGAATTCCCGTTGCTTATTTCTTCTTAATGTAGATATCTGGATGTTATGTCCGAAAATGAGGTAAATACAATGGCTTATTTAAACGATTTTTGTCATTTGGTAGAATCACTAATGGCCACAAATTCATCTAATTTTCGTAACGCACAGAAATAATTATCAGGAAATAGATTTTCGGTTAATAGCGATAATGTAATTAGCTTGTTTCGTTTCCTTTATTTGTAAGACCGAACTTCTTCGTATTATCATTACATTATCATTATATATACAACAACATCGTTATATTTAATAATTAATGGGCCAGTACGACTATAGAGTCTCATTCGGCACAATCATCAACAACAGTAAAGGTAGGTACATACAATAGAAGACATAAGGCCAAGATTTAGATTTCATCATAAATAACAAATTATAAAACGCCTACTACCAGGGTTAACAATCATTTTGATATCGAGTAGGCGCGAATTCCATAATTTTACAGGATTAACAAAGAATAGTTTTGATGATGTTAAATATTTATAGTCTGGTGGGATTAGATTCATTGCTCGTTCAGATTTCGCGAATTTAATTTTCTCGTGTAAATATCGGTACGTATAAGCTTGCGGAGATATGTCGGCAGATAGGAAAGTCAGCTAAATCACAATCTACAAAAATTAATTGTTAAATGTGGGACGAAGAGTGGAAATATTGTTTAACTTCTGCGCTATGATGTATTACCAAACCGTATAAACATGTGTGATAAATAAGGTGTGCGATACAATATGCCGGATGAGTGGAGTTTCGCTCTATCTCAAAATCAAATATCGCGTACGGATTAGTAATTATTTTAAAACTTGGATACATTTTTTCTGCATTGGATTTGTGTGTACAGCAACGCCTTTAACACGTATACGGTTTTAGAGGCTCTTGAATAAATCAAATCGTTATGAAAGTATATTAAATCGCCATAAAATCTGGTGCGAAATCGTTGATGAATTATATAGTGCTTTGTTCACTTGCTAGAGCCTCTTAAAGCTTTATGTGAATGTAAAAGAAAGAAAAAATGATTCTAGACGAGTAGAAAAATTATATTCGTCTGTGATCGGATCTTTCGTATCAATTTTTCATTTTTTTTCATTTTTTTTTTTTCACGTCCCCTATTCATGTAAGAATTATGCAAAGAGAAATGGAATGGGGAAGTGGTGGTGGTCACAGACTAAAAAATGAGATGCATATAGAGTCGATATTAAATGGACAACATTTTTTTAAGGGTGTGGAGTTATATCTAAAAGTAATTAGCAAAGACATTGACCAGCAACTTTTAGCAGAGATCTGTTAAATCATTAACAGAGGGAGAAACATTTCATATATATTTTCGCACTACATACTTGCTTTGGCCGCAGTGGCTAAGTAAACTTTCGCTTTTTCTATCTCATATTTTTCATGTTTTAACATTTCTTTCGTAACAAATTTTAACTAATTAACATAAATGCATGTCTTTGTTTATAGTGTTTTTTTAAAAAAAATTTTGAAAAAATTATGTTCCGATTTAAATCCTTTCGGGACTTTGTTTAAAATTTTTCATTCGTATATTTGCTAGTTACGTTTCATAGCCTTTGATTTTTCCCATTTTTATACAGAGATTGTAGAACCACAGATTACACATGCAATTGTTTATATGAAGTAGAGGGAAAGCGCATCCTTCTATATATTGGAAACGATTGAATAAAAATCAATGTATGAATATTCGACACTCAATGGCCTATTGTTTCCATTTTTAAACGAGGCATTGTAGGACGGACGATAAATTATATGTGGAAACTGTTATCGTTGTGTCGGTTATAATGTATGAATGATCACCAATAAGTCCAATTTCTCCAACTTTTGAAAATATCGGTATTCGTAGTTTATATTGCGCTCTTGAACACATTGGTGTTTTCAAACATTTTTATTTACAATTATGATTGAGAAGAATTCGAATGAAATAGAAATTATTTTGTTAATAAAAAAAAAAACAAATTCAAAATTTCGAAGAAAAATTAAGATGCATTTGAAAATTTTTTCGTTCGACTTTTTAAAAAATGCTTTCAAAATTTTAAAGTGATTTCTTTTCTATTACCATAAAATTTTTGGGTTATTTTCGCCTCCAATATTCCGTAATCCCAGGCAAAATATAAAAATGGCCTTCCATGACGTTTACATATATATTTTTACTTATGCTCTTTTTCTCGCAAATTTTTCATTCGTTCGCTGCATCTTTTAATTTCTTGGCAGAATTATTGAAAGCTTTCGTCGAAATAGCTCTCAGCTTTATATTTACTTAATGGACCTCTGAATTAAGCTACGCGAATGTATTCTCGTTTCGAAAAGCTTTTAAACACACATAAACACACTTTCTAAAGACATCTATCAATCTCTTAGTGTATTAGAGAAATTAGAAAGCTACGAGTTGTTAAGAGTTAAGTTGTAGCTTTCGAGAAGGGATTCATTTCGCGTAGGCAATCTTCTCGGAGTGTTTCGGGAAAAACTCAACATTTTTAGATCCAATAAAAAAAAGAAAAGAAAATTTAAGGCAATTTCCTGCCCCCTTAAATGCAGACAGCCCCCCGTTAAAAAAAAAAAAAAAAAAAACGGGAACCATTTTGATTCGTAGAACCAATCTAGTTTTTTTATTATGAATGATGGCCTATTACAGCTGGACGTTATCTTTTTTGAATAGAACTTTAAGATGGATTTACCACATACGTGCGTTAATATCTGGCGAAAAAAATTTCAACTCGTTTCGAGAGTAGCAATCACACCGGCAATTGTATCAGGGCTTGATATTGTTAATAAAAGCAAGGAAATTATATTCGGTCGTGACCTGAAGAAAAAGAAGAATGCAGCTAAGTTTTCATACCTTATAATGTTGGACGAGTGGGAACGGTTGATTATTTCTATTTTAATAATAAAAGTAGAAATTTTTATGGTATATATGTTATACACTTTATAGGTGTTTACAGTTATTGTTATATAGTTGTGTGGACGTTGTGGGCGTATGCGTCATTTTCAAATTCTTTTGCAAGATTGTTTCTTGCATTATCTTCATTTTTACGCGCCAGGATAATATGTACGAAGGACATTACACAGACGGACAGACGGACAGACGATTACGGTTAAGATGATTCAGAATTTGATGCTGATCAATGTCATAAATGTACTTTGTTGGGTCTCTGAGGAGTTTTTCTGGGCGATTGCAAACGTTTTAACAAACTGTATACACAATCCTTCCAACTCATCCTTCGGGAATGGGTATAAATATAATAAAATTCTTATTTTTCCTTAATCCAAACGGTAGTTTAGAAGCAATTACATAGCAAAGCCTGTCTGTATTCTATAGCAAAAAAGTCTGTT